CCTGTGAGCATCTTACAGTTGCTGGGTTTAAGTATGTGGGACTGCAGTACCTCTCTCCAACCTGGAGTAAATGGGTTCCTGTATCTTGCAGGTGGTGGGTTCAATTCCAGTCTGTGAGACTGCAGATCCTCTCTCCACCCAGGAGTGAATAGGTCAATGTGATCATCTTACAGGTGGTGGGTTTGATTCCAGTCTGTGGGGCTGCAGTACCTCTCTCCAACCTGGAGTAAATGGGTCCATGTGATCATCTTACAGGTGGTGGGTTCGAGTCCAGTCTGTGGGACTGCAATACCTCTTACCACCCAGGAATAATTTGAAACAGACAAAATTGCAGTGTATGAATTAAATACCTGCATTAAATAGAAATTACTGAGCAGTGCTTTCCCATCAGAGCGGAGATTGTATTTAGGATGGTTTTCTTGGCCTGATGAGCAGGGGTAATAATGATGTGGGTAAGCAAATTTACACATTCACATTACCGTGCCTCACAAGAATACAAAAACACAACCAACCAAACTGTAGCCAACATAAATGTACACAAACTTTCCTCCAGGACCCCTCCCACAAACTGAATAAACCCCTCCCCTAGCTACAACATCCATACACGTGCAGTTTACCGATTTCTTCAAACTGGTCGTAACCGTAGGTAACACAAAGGAATGCCTGACCATAAATCTGTGCACTTTCCGGCCAACTGTAGGTCATGGATGAATTATTGGGGAAACGAGGTGTGCTGTGAACCAGCCAGAAACCACTGGTGGCATCAAAGGCAAGGTCACCTGTGAGATGAAAAAGAAGGTACTTGTATTTATATCATTAGACAACAGACACCTGTCTTCGTAACATACATGTGCTTGTACCTCTACATCAGGACAGGTGCACATTATACTCACACTTGACTATAAACTGAATTGGTTGCTTTGTATTGCTTCATACATGGACACACAATATTGCAATTAACTTTCCAAAAAGACAAAAAATTACTTTTCACAAAACGGAAAGCACATCAAAATGTTTATCAGGCACTCTCAGGAAAACTTACCCTGAATTTAGTAATAAACAACAACGAAGTAATCAGGATTCTTACAGAAATGCAAAAGGCAAATTCCACAACTTTTTTAGGACACTTCAGGACAAAAATTTAATGCTTTCTTGGACATTTAGTGTCATATTGCACAGAAATCTTTTATAATTTATTGGACGACTTACAAAAGCACTAGTACAGACTGATGATAACCTTTACATTTATATCCGTTATCACATCCAAAGCGGCCATCACAAGTAACCCTTCCTTGATTTCCACAACTTTTACAGGACTGTAATTTTTTTCCTGACAGGATTCCAGAACAACCTATTTTTTCACAATTTTCCATCAATTGACAGGGTATTTTTTCCCCCCCGATATTTTTCAGGATTTTCCATAATTGTGAAAACCTTTGTAACAAAATTACCAAAATTGTAAAAATATGGTACCTTTTTTCTAGTTTAAAATTGTCAAATTTGTCTCCATATATTTACCCTTTGTATGTCCATGAGTGCTTGTTTTGGCTTTGCTGTTTGGTAGCTCATCATTATACAGCAGGTATGCAACATCCTAGAACAAATTATACCAAGGGATCTGTTAATTAACCCTAACCCCCTAGGGACCATTGAAATCCTGCATGTCTTGTCGGGTTCAGCATGGTTAGCTGGAACAAATGATTCCAACATAAGTGAGGAGAACGCAAATACTATCTTTGATGTTGGACATGGAGAAGGGGATACAGAACTTAGTAGTTGCATAAATGCTTGTCATAAACCAAAAATGGAACTACATGTAATTAACTTGTTCACGGAAGCAAAGGAAACACTGAAACCACCACTCCACAAACTCTTTATACAGATACACTTTCACAACTGTTTAACTGACAATTGTTGGGCATGTGAGCTTTGTGAAAGTGAATGTGTGAAACCTGAAAGAGTAAGCACCTTGTTAGTACCATTATTGGTACATGTACATGTACGTGTACATGTCAGTTATTTCTTAGAGCTACATGGTTCAAGGTCTGAGGAGCAAAGTGAAAATTTCTCTGAAAAAGGGATGAGCGGCCGTATAAATTCTGTGGCAACCCAACATTCCAAAGCAGACTGACAAATTATACACCATTAGCTGAAAACTGATTAAATTCCCAAACTTCCAGTGCCTATAACTACGTGTACTGAAGATTTCTGCTGACAAACGTTTTACTCTGGATCTGAGTATGTCAGTCCAGTTGTATAACTTTTAGAAAAAAAACTGGACAGTTAAACTGCCCTAGATAAATAGGTACATGTCCATGGAATGTATTGCAATAAAACTGCTAAAAATTTACAGCAGAATGGATGGGAATTTGGAATTATTTGTAAAATGCTTTGACATAGGAATGAACCCAATTTTGGGCAATCGACAGAATTCGAAGGTTTCAATTTATTAAAATTACAGTGAAAACACCAAAGATTAATTTAATCTGTGAAAAAAAGAAAGTCTACACGGACCAGAGAGAAACAAAAGGAAAGTTTACTTTGTCTTGTATCAAAAAATGTAAATTAACATTGACAGATGTAGTCATAACAAAACAGTACCACATGCCAATTACTGTCACTTTCTGTTCAATTCTAAATTAAGTGCAGAGAAGAATTCACATGTAGTTAAATGATTTTAGAGTAGTAGTGGTGAATATACATTTGCTGAGTTCATATGTACAGACTTGTCAGAGTTTTGTTTTCTCTTGAAACACTTGGCAAGCTAGGTACTGTAAGTTTGGATGTAATGCACAAGAAATGGATGATTTGATGTCTTATGTCTCCTGTCATTCCTTTTAGGTTGGTTATTCCACTGAGTTTATTGTGACTTTGATTTGAATGGCTGGTTTGAAAAGAGAAAGGTTGAAAAAATTACACATTGATGTCAGAGTAACTGGGTCCTGCTGAGATGATTTTTTTTTATGATCAATGAAGCATATCTATTACCAATCAATTCCTAACATTAAGGACTTTTGGATTAAATCTTGTCAAACTCCATGAAAAATAAGCACAAATGTAAACATGTAGACTAATCTCAAATGAATTGCACTGTCTGCAAGAATGTTACCAATCAGTACTTCTCACAATGAAATCCCCAGTTACATATTTTCCAAACCAAATTATGTCATGTAGTTGGTAAGATGCATATCCACTCATCTTAAGCTACGTACATGTAATCATTTGATTGGTTGATGACATGTTCAAATCAAGCTGCTTGTCAAACTTCTATGTAGTTGGTATCAAAATCTTCAAACCTATACAATCCTATCAAGAGCCTGAAAGAATCCAGTCTAGTAGATTTCTGGAGCTGTTACATTACCTACACTCACGTCTCTATTTGGATTTGAAAAGGCACTGAA